AAATGTACAATAATCATTTCACTACCCGACAAACCCCGAAATTTATTCATGCATTACATAAATAGTTTCATCTTGCTGTACTCCATAGTAACAACTAACTGACTGTAGACCATTTCCGGTCACACATTACTTTCCATAGCGCAGCACCCCCTAGTTCCGTCACCTCTGGTTTGTAGTGATGATAAGATAGAATATTTTCTCTTTTTCCAAACCAAAAAATTGAAAACTTGAATGATAAAAATTACCTTGACACGAGCTTCTGAAGAAGCTGCTCGTGTAAAGAACAGCGAAACTGTCGAGGTAATTTTTACCATTAAATATTTCATTTTTTTGGTTTAGAAAAAATAAAATATTCTATCTTATCTCTTTGTACACAGTTTTTACCTTTTTAAATAATTGATTTTAATAATTTGCAATAAGAATGTCTTATCTTTTGGTATATTTTCTGAATGGCTACTTCAACTTAATTCTTTCCTCCGACGGTAATATTTTATCCTATGCCTCTTTGTTTACGCTATTTGAATACTCACATTCATTTTTTATAGCTTGTGTAGCCTGGTCATTTCGGTGTGAAACATAACAACTGATTTATAATATAATTCAAATTGAATTTTTTGTAAATAAAATAATTAAATAAAACATTTTGATGTAAAATTTTACTTAATCTTAGTGTGCATTTTCCAATAACTTCTATTTTCTCAATGATTTTGGTTTTTTTCCTTAATTTTTATCTAATTGACGTCTTTTCAATGTGTTTTTAATTAATAGTTCAGTGTTGTTTACTTGTTTATCCAATAATGTTTTAATTTACTGCAATAAAGTTGCATTTTGAATTTGTATTTAATGTTTTATTGTTATATTATGTGTGTATACATACTTGTCGCATCAAGACAATTATCTCGATACTTTAACTGTGCAGTTATTAAGCTATCGATTTACATGCATACATACCCTCCGGGACGAGGAGTACCGGTAGAGAACATAAAGAGACACGAAAGAAGAAACACTGCATGAAACGTGACGGCGAGTCCCATCTTCTTACATGAACATACACCTACAAATATAATTTCAAAACTAACTTATGTTTGTATTTAGGAACCACGTCAACGCCACCGAGGTTGGCGCTGTGGTTTGAACATTTGTACTTCTGGATGCCCGGAAATGAAACTTAAATGATCTTTTTTTTTTGCTTTTATTTGACAACTTGAGTCAACAAAAAAGGATTGAAGCATTACTTTGATTGGTGTGGTGTCATCATCGATATTACCCTAAAACCCATGTATTCACACTTAAGCTGGTGGCCAGTTCAATTCAGTAACGGACCTATGAATTCGAAATAGAGGGGCCAGGGGTGGACTTTTTCAGCTAGTGGGTGTATACCACCATTTTCCACAATTCCCCCATTGTTAAAATTTTTAAAAATCTGTATCTAATTAGCTGTTTGTCAAATTCGATTTTTGTGCCTTATAAAATCAGTTGTAAACATATCATTTTTTTAAACAATAGTAACAATAATAACACTAATAATAATATTAATAATAATAATAATAATAATAATAATAATAATACTGTGAGATTATCGATCGATCTTATTATATCGATTATTCTTGATTTCCTTACCATGCAAATCCACTTTGTTAAATTATCTCTAACCGTTAAATCACCGGTCACATTATCTAATACAGGTGCCCCCCAAAAAAATTGTTTTGCATCCTCATCAGTTTATATACCTTTGATTTTCGTTCAAGTAACATAATGTGTCCACTCATTAAGTACACAGATGATTCAGCAATGCTTGGGGTACTCAATAGTAAAAATGATATTTCTATCTACCTAAACGAAATTAATGCCTTTGTAAACTTTTGCAAAATTAATCATCTTGAACTGAATAATAATAAGACAAAAGAGATTATTGTAGATTTGGAAAAACAAATTTAATCATGACGTTCAAAAACGCGTTCTTTTAATGTGGACAATAGAATAATTACTATTTTTTATACTTCTGTTATCTGTAGTGTATGGAACTATGGTATCTGAGGTTGGGTTTGAAATGCTAATAAAACTGATACCAACAAAATTGATTGAGTTGCTAGGGAGACGATGGTAGGTGGGCGCCAGAATTAATTATAATATATCCAGATTGTTCCATTATATTCTGTACGGAAGCACCTAAGACATGATATGTATATTATGTCGACTTGACAACATAAATTATCTTCACAAGTCGAATGGCACTTAGGTGCTTCCGTAATTCTGGAAGATCATAACCACCCCATCTATTATGATAAATTAAAATGCTATCACATCAAACGCAGCGGCCGTTTCCGTACACCGACTTGTCGCATTAACCGCTATCTTCTCCCTTTCCTGCCACAGTCTATTTAATTTTTTAATAACAATTTTAAAAGTAACTAATTTCTTGTTTCTTAAACTGTATTGTACATCTCTATATTTCAACCAATTTTAATAGTATTAATAATGTATTACTACGTATTATTTACATTTAAGCGGTATCCTTTTTTTAATAAATCTTATAAACTTAACTACTTTTATTGTCTTTCAAAAATACTGTACATCTTTATATTTTAACCAATTTTGATAGTTTTAACAATGTACGAACAACAAATTTCCGTAAAAGGATGTATTATTTATATTCAACTGTATCCTTTTTTAATAACTGTTTTAAACGTAACTATTTTTTTTTGTCGTTCAAACTGTACTGTACATCTTTATATTTTAACCAATTTTGATAGTTTAACAATGTACGAGCAACGACTTTCCGTAAAAAGGATGCAATAAAGTGAGTCTTACGCCCGTATTCTTAAAACAAACTTTAGTCGAACTTCGAACTAGAACTTCATTTAGTGCTAGTTGCATCTTTAACTTCAATTTGTATTCACAAACAATGTAGTCGAAGTTTTAACTACGACTAAA